AATATGACACAGAAGAAAGTTTTACACAATTCAGCAATAACAAAAATTAAACACAAATGTGACATTTTTGCTTACTATCGTTGAATATGATCAACGAAGGTCAGTAGCAAAGACATTGGTTAATAATAATAGGATTAAATACATATATGATATTTGTCTTATTTAACATATTTAATTATTGTAGGTTTGTATAATATTCTGAGTTTGCATTTGACTGTTTTTATTCATTTTGAGGAATACTGAATCTGTTTTTGTGCAGGTGAGATGAGTAAACACATGTTTATATTTATTCTAGAACTACAGTAAGAATCATATTCACACAGCGCACACATGGTCACACTTACTCCCGATTTCTCTCAACATGGCAACACGAGAGCTGTCAGTCAAGACATGGGAAACAAAGTAACTGGTGTTACTTATTTGAAAAGTAACTCTTTCCTTCTAAATTAAAAAGTAATGTGTTTCTTTACTAGTTACTTAAAAAAAGTAATCTGATTACGTAACGTGCGTTACTTGTAATGTGTTACCCCAACACTGATTATAATATCTTTGTTGTCACTTTTGATCAGTTTAATGCTGAACAAAAGCATTAATTCATGTATATTTATATGAGCAAGAGACCAGGACTTACCAAGTGCGTGCAAAACTGTTCCACACAAGTTTGTGTTCTTGGAGGACCAGTTTCTGGATGACACCAACAGTGCCTTCTTGAAACTGACTCCTTAATGGTTCCCCTATGGGCTGCACTGTACCTACAGAGAGAGAAAGTGAGAACAAGTCAGTGGAAGTGAAAGAGAGATCCAGTTATATTCTACAGATCAGCTGAGACATTATATAATGGAAAATGAATGTTACCCTCAATGACCACATACTGCAGACATTTCCCTGGTGTGGCATTCAAAAGATCTGCTAACTTTTCATCCAGCGGCAAAATTGCAGCTTCCTTACATCAAAAACAAATTTGTTTCTTTTTTAGAAAATTCTCCTAATCTTGTGTAGCAGGCACTTTAAATCCAAAGAACTAATTCCAGGGACTAATTTCACATATATACTGTCTAAATCGTCATTTTTGCAATGTTACTCACTTTAAGTTTGTCCACAGTTTTGCGTTTCTTCCTGTAGATGTAATAAAACAGGCCAGAGAGAGCTACACTTGAACCCAAACACACCATCTCCATTGTCCCGATGGGGAAATCCTCCATCTTCCACCTCACCCTCTTCCTCTTCTCTAGACTACTGAACACAGAACGAACAGGTGTAAGGTCCAAGATGAATCAAGGGAACCTATGGTGATTTGATTCAGCATGGATTTTCAGTCATTTTTACTACTATCGTTAATTTGAATTACATGAACACAGGTTAGTTTCTTTAGCTTCCCTAAATAGGAGTTCAAAAAACGTCCAATTTAAATAATTTATGTCATGGGGTTCAGCTGATATTAAAGTTTGGCAAGTTAAATAATCTCTAAAATTACTAATCACCTAACTGACACAAACGGAAAATAAATAAATAAATAAAAATAAATAATTAAAAATCTGTGCCATTAACTACAAACGTAGATGTTGGCTTGAGAGCCTGGTTTGAAAACGTTTTAAAAGATTGAAGGTTATACAGGTCAGAATGAACCTCAGACCACCAGACAAAATTTTCTAGTTGATTACAGACAGAGACGCAAAAATGAAAGACAGAGAGAGATGACAAAGCCTTGTAAGTCTTTGTTTACATTGGAATTGTTTGACAGTTGGCACATTTGAACATTTCAATTATGTAAGTCTATGCAGTTTTAAGGAATTTAAGGAAAACCGACACAATAACACTATCAACACCACCACAATGAAACATACATAACAATAACTACAGATCACCAAACAAGGCAACGCATATGCAGGCTGTCAAAATATGTGACCCATAAATGACCTTTAAAGGCTTTAACCCTAATACTTTGAACACGATTACACATGTACATGCTCATAAATAAATATTAAAGTTCTGTCTGAAACAACAGAAATGAGTATCGCGTGAATAAGAAGCAGAAATCACCTTTAACACTCACGACTTTCCTGAACCCATTACCGGAAACTGCGATGCTGTTTACGTCTTCTTCTTCTTCTTCTTTGGAATTTTTTTGGCGTATCCCGCACCATAGGCACATACCGCCACCAACTGTTTCTAGTCATACATGGATGATAGTCCCGCCTCTATTCATATTTTATTTATTTATTTATTTGTTTTTTAATTGTTCATTTTATTTCGGGCTTACCCAAGCTGTATTTCTGGCTGCTGCGTGTTCAGCTCCCATGCCAAAAAAACCAGCTTGTGTGTTCCCCTATTCCTTTGCTTTATTTATTTATTTAACTATCAAATTCGTTTATTTAATCCTGTTTCTACTATATATTCCATTACTATTCTTTGATTAATACCTTCTCTTAATCCTTTTCCTAATATCCAATTTATCTTATTTTGTTCTTTATTATTACCATTTAAGTTCTTTATCATTTTAATTCTCTCTATATTATATTTCCGACATTTTAATATTACATGTTCAACGGTTTCTATTACCCCACAAAAAGCACATTTACCTGTAATATGTTTACCTATTTTGTATAGTGATGCATTTAGTCCTGTGTGCCCAAATTGTAATCTATTTAAAATCACCTCATCTTCCAAAATTGTATACTTCTTTAACTGATGAATTAATTTAATAATAAAACCTTCCTGTATCAGCTATGTCCCACTTCTTCTTCCACTCTACGTGGTACGTCAACGCGCGAGGACCTTTTTAGGTAGCTTTACTATGAATTTGGTGACACAACTTTATGCAGCCAAACACATTTTAACCTATACGTGGTTTTATTATGATAATAAAAAATGTTGTTTATCAGTTTGTCCTCTGCAGTTATCTTAATACATTTTAAATTAGATATCTGAAACATTTTAAACGAACATAATTCAGAAATAAGTTGAAATAATTATACAAACAAACAAGCAAGCAAATAAATAAATATTTCTCGATTTGAATGTTCAGTTTTTGTTTCAATGCCATTTTTTAATCCGTTTTTTGGCTCAAATGCATCAGAAATAATGAAAAGACTGACAGCCTGTCAGTAGTGTTAAATTTTGATGAGAACAAATTACCTGAGAAAGTATATTTAGGTTTTGTGAGCTACAGTGTCAGGCCATACGTTCCCCCGCCGCTAAGATGTTACAAATGCCAAAAATTCGGTCACGTAGCAGCAGTGTGCAAAGGAAAACAGAGATGTGCGCGGGTGTGGAGGTGATCATGAATATGGCAAGTGTGGGCAAGGTGTAAATCCTAAGTGCTGTAATTGTGGAGGAGAGCACAGTGCAGGATACGGAGGATGTAGTAAGAGGAAAAATGCAGTGAAAGTAAAATGTCAGAGTGGCTGAAGGAATATCATACGCTGAGGCTCTAAAGAAAGTAGATTGATCATAGAAGACATGCTAGATTGGGGAGGATTAGTGTGTATCAATGATGGAAGCTATACAAGAGTTGATTTGTCACAAGGAAAATATTCCAGTTTAGACTTGACATTAGCAGGGCTGCCAACTCTCACGCGTTCAGCGTGAGACTCACGCAATTGACACTATTCTCACACTCTCACGCCACACATCCATTTTCTCACGCAGAAAAATGTCCCTGCCAAATTCAATATTTATTTATGATAAAAAAA